CTGAACGATGAGCTGCACCACTCCGGCTGGAACACGTGCAGCAGCTGCCACGGTGACGCCACCAAAGTGCGGGACAAGCTGATCCTCCCGTGCCTCATCTCCTCCCGCGTCTACGTGGTGGACGTGGGCACCGACCGCCGGGCCCCTCGCATCCACAAGGTGGGCATCCTCCAATCAGCTCCCCCGTGGGGGGGCCCCCATCGCCCCCCTCATACAATCGCTCCAGGTATTTCTAGAGGCAGCTGGTGGGAGTACCTGAACCTCTCCTTATATCTGCCTCCTGTACAGCAGCTCTTGGTGGGCGGGGCAGCACTAAGAGCCAATCAGGTGCGCTGCCTGCACATGTGCAGAAGGGATCATGCTGATAGGAGGGGAGAGCAAAGCTCCCGCCACACTGGAGTCTGGATGTGACCTGATTGGGATTCTCCTCTGTACAGGTGGTGGAGCCGGGGGAGGTGCACAAGAAGTGTGGCCTGGGGAACCTGCACACCTCCCACTGCCTGGGGTGCGGGGAGATCATGATCAGCGCTCTGGGGGACCCCGCCGGCAACGGCAAAGGTGAGCGCCATTTCCTCCGGGAGTTATTATTGGCTGGAGGAGTCTTCAGAGTCGACCAATCAAACCGATTTCTGTGTTGTGTCTCAGGAGGCTTCGTGCTGCTGGATGGAGAAACCTTCGAGGTGAAGGGGAACTGGGAGGTGGCGGGCAATTCTGCGCCCTTCGGGTACGACTTCTGGTACCAACCGCGCCACAAACGTCATGATCAGCACCGAGTGGGGGGCCCCGAAAATCCTCTCCAAGGGGTTCAACATTGAGGATGTGAAGGCGGGTAAGAGGGAGACGGGGGGGGGGGGGGGGGGGGGTAACGGGGAGATCCCCCCTCCATCCTTCCATTGTACCCCGATCCCCCCTCTCCCCCCAATCCATCCTTCCATTGTACCCCGATCCCCCCTCCATCCTTCCATTGTACCCCGACCCCCCCCCCTCCATCCTTCCATTGTACCCCAACCCCCCCATCCTCCGTCCCCCGATTCCATTTCCATTGTACCCCAAGATCCCCCCTCCGTCCTTCCATTGTACCCCAAGATCCCCCCTCCATCCTTCCATTGTACCCCCCGATCCCCCCCCATCCGTCCTTCCATTGTACCCCCCGATCCCCCCCTCCGTCCTTCCATTGTACCCCCCGATCCCCCCCTCCGTCCTTCCATTGTACCCCCCCCCCCCCCTCCGTCCTTCCATTGATCCCCCCTCCGTCCCTCTATTGTACCCCGATTTTCCCCCCCCCCCATCATGTGACTTTTGCTCCTCCAATCATCTTCTTGCTCCATTCTAGGACACTATGGTCACCATATCCACATCTGGGACTGGACCCGGCACACCCGCATACAGACGCTGGACCTGGGGGAGGACGGAATGATTCCCCTGGAGATCAGGTTCCTGCACAACCCCGACGCTGAGCAGGGATTCGTGGGCTGCGCGCTCAGCGCCTCCATCTTCCGCTTCTACAAGACGGCGGTGAGTGGGGGCGGGGTGTGGGGGGTGGGGCGGGGTGTGGGGGGCAGGGTGTGGGTGAGCGGGCGGGGTGTGGGGGGGGCAGGGTGTGGGGGGGCGGTGAGCGCCACCTCTCGCCTTCTCTTACAACTGGCGTGTGGGGGGTGGTGAGGGGGCGGGTGTGGGGATGGGGGGCGGGGTGTGGGGGGGCGGTGCGGGAGGTGGGGCAGGGTGTGGGGGGCGGAGTATGGGGCTCATTGTTTGCCCGAGGTTCCCTTTCTCCGGATCCGCTCTGCCGGGATCCTATCACACATTACTGCAGATTCTCACCTGCATCTGCTCTGTAGATCCTGGACTGGCCACCTCCGCCTTCTACACGGCTGCTGCCCCGGAGCCTCTGGTCACATGATCCGCCCATTGGGTTCTCAGATCTGTGCCGGGATCGGCTTTGTATGACTTCCGATGTTTTACTCTCACAGGATGGAAAGTGGGCGGCTGAGAAGGTCATCCAGGTGCCCCCTAAGAAGGTGGAGGGCTGGGCGCTGCCAGAGATGCCAGGTGAGTGGCTGTATGGTGACAGAGCCATGGTGCTGATTGGGTGAGAGCATGGCCCCACCCCCCTCCTCTGCTGCCATAAGGACATACAGTATTTTTTCCATCCTTCGGGTGTCCCGGCTCCTCCCCTTCAGTCTCGCACAGGTGTCCTGGCTCCTCCCCTTCAGTCTCGCACAGGTGTCCCGGCTCCTCCCCTCCATTCTTGCACAGGTGTCCCGGCTCCTCCCCTCCATTCTTGCACAGGTGTCCCGGCTCCTCCCCTCCATTCTTGCACAGGTGTCCCGGCTCCTCCCCTCCATTCTTGCACAGGTGTCCCGGCTCCTCCCCTCCGGTCTTGCACAGGTGTCCCGGCTCCTCCCCTTCGGTCTTGCACAGGTGTGCCGGCTCCTCCCCTTCGGTCTTGCTTGCAGGTGTGCTGGCTCCTCCCCTGGACTGAAATGTCTTCCTCTGATGTCACCGCACACTGAGGGCTTCTCACAATGTGCATTAGAAGCTGCAGCCAATCAGAGCTCCGCCTCCTTTCCTGGCTGGAAGACTTCCAGCATCATCTAGCACTTTCCTCCCCATCCTGACTGATGATGCCAAAACACTCTTTTATTGAAGGATAGCGATGACAGGACGCCATTTATAATCAGAGTTGTTTGGCTTCTTTTTAAATCCTAATGAGAACAGAAATCCCCCCAAATGGCCTGGAACAGAAGTCCCCGCCCCCATATCAGAAGTCTCCGCCCCCTGGAATGTTTGTCCTTGGTGCAGACACACACAGGTTACCGCGGCAATTAAAGGGTTAATTTCCCACATTTGTGTATAAATAGTCGATGAGTTTTTGTTCGCTCTCTGCACTGAGCCATGGGGAGCAGACAAGAACTGTCAAAAGACCTGAGTAACAAGGTAAGGGAACGTTATAAAGATGAGAGAGGATATAAAAAGATATCCAAAGCCTTGAATCTGCTGTCAGTTCTGTACGATCACTTATTAGGAAGTGGAAAATTCGGGGATCTCTTCATACCAAGCCAAGAAAGATGGCAGCCACAACTGCCAGAAGAATTGTTCGGGATACAAAGAAACCCCACCCCCCCCCCCCCCCCCTACAGGTCACCTCAGGAGAAATCCAGGCCGGTCTGGAAAAAGCTGGTGCTGTTGACTCAAGGAGTGCAATACAATACAATAATGAGCTGCATGGGCGAGTTGCCAAAAAGGAGCCTTTCCTGTGCCAATTCCACAATAAAGCCCGGGTAGAATATGACCCGGCAACACCTTGCCACGCCTCACAGCTTCTGACACACTAATCTGGAGGGACGAGACCGAGAGAGAGCTTTATGGTCACAACTATGAGCGATATGCTTGGAGAGGGGTCAGCAAGGCCTACAGTGACAAGAATACCATCCCCACTGTGAAGCATGGTGGAGGCTCACATGTTTTGGGGGGGGCTGTGCCTGACAACAGCTTGACACTCCTCCCAGCTTCTGACACACTGTTCTCTTGGGGGATGAGACCAAAATAGAGCTTCATGGTCACAACCGTAGGCGCTATGCTTGGAGAGGAGTCAACAAGGCCTACAGTGACGAGAATACCATCCCCACTGTGAAGCATGGTGGAGGCTCACTGATGCTTTGGGGGGGAGTGCCCGACAACACGTTGACGCGCCTCCCAGCTTCTGACACACTGTAATCTGGGGTGTCGAGACCAAAATAGAACTTTATGGCCACAATTGTAGGCGCTATGCTTGGAGAGGGGTCAACAAGGCCTACAGTGACAAGAATACCATCCCCACTGTGAAGCATGGTGGTGGCTCACTGATGTTTTGGAGGGTGTGAGCTCTACAAGGCACGGGGAATCTTGTGAAAATGGATGGCAAGATGAATGTAGCACATTAGCAGAAAATACTGGCGGACAATTTGCAGGAAAGCTGCTCATGGGACGTTCTTGGACTTCTCAGCAGGACAATGGCCCCATTCACACAAGGCCAAGCTGACCCTCCAATGGTTACAGCAGAAAAGGGTGAAGGTTCCAGAGTGGCCATCAGTCTCCTGACCTTCATATCAACGAGCCAGTCTGGGGGGATCTCAGGTGTGGGGTTCATGGAAGACCACCAAAGGCTTTTGAGGATCTCAGGTGTGCGGTTCATGGAAGACCACCAAAGGTCTTTGGGGGGGATCTCAGGTGTGGGGTTCATGGAAGACCACCGAAGGCTTTTGAGGATCTCAGGTGTGGGGTTCATGGAAGACCACCAAAGGTCTTTGGGGGATCTCAGGTGTGGGGTTCATGGAAGACCACCAAAGGTCTTTGGGGGGATCTCAGGTGTGGGGTTCATGGAAGACCACCAAAGGCTTTTGAGGATCTCAGGGGTGGGGTTCATGGAAGACCACCAAAGGCTTTTGAGGATCTCAGGGGTGGGGTTCATGGAAGACCACCAAAGGCTTTTGAGGATCTCAGGTGTGGGGTTCATGGAAGACCACCAAAGGTCTTTGGTGGGATCTCAGGGTGGGGTTCATGGAAGACCACCAAAGACTTTGCATGATCTGGAGGAATGTTGCCGAGATGAATGGGCGGCTCTACCACTGGCAGGAATTCGGGGCCCTCATAGACAACTATTACAGAAGACTGCACGCTGTCATTGATGCTGAAGGGGGCCCTACACAGGTTGAAGACCTAAGAGGGTGCAGACTATTGAACGGGCATTTCATTGGTTGACTTGTCGCCGTGTTCTGTTTTCTGATTGGCCCGTTCTGGTATCACCTCCAGATACAGAATATAAATCCCATAGGAAATACAAGAAATGGGTTTTGCCGGCTCCCTCCTCGTCCATCCTGTATACTCCCGATTCTCCAAGAGGTGGGGCGGACTTTTCACCTCAACTGTATGTACTGGCTCCTCCCACCAGCCATGGTCTGCCTGCATTGCATAGAGAAGCACTGAGGCCTGGTGTGTACTGGAATTGGAGAAGTATTTTTTTTCTGTGTGCCGTCATGAAGCTGTAAAGGATTTTATGACTCGATGATTGTCTGACCCGATACAATCTCCTCGTAAAGATTCACCATCATAAATGTTATAAACGCGGCTCTGGCGCCTCGGGGCCGCCGGGTGAATGGCGGCCTCATATAATGGGCGGGAGGAGATCCCGCCACTGACCCTCACCCCACCTGGCAGCCCACTTCGCCTCACCTCTGCCCTCCTTACATTGGGAACAATGCTGCTCTCCATACTGGAGGACGATGGGGGATCGGGTGACGTTTTCCGTCGTGCCTCCTGTCATCCCCGTGTGCTCCACCACAAGGAGAATCAATGGGAAGTATCTTCGGGGGGGGTGGGGGGCGAGTATTGGGCTCCCTATCTCAGCCTCAGTTCTGTCCGTGTCCCAATGGCAGACATTCCTCAACTTCCTGTCTGGTGAAAGCGGGTCCAAAACTCCAAAAGGGGGGTGGAGGGGGATAGAGGGATGATGGAAGGACGATGAAGGGGGGGCCGAGAATGGAGGGAAGATGGAGGGAAGATGGGAGGAAGGAGGGAGGAGGAAGGAAGGGAAGAAGGAGGAAGGAAGGGAGGAGGAAGGAAGGAGAGGAGGAAGGGAGGGAGGAGGAAGGGAGGGAGGGAGGAAGGAGGAAGGAGAAGGGAGGGAGGAGGAAGGAAGGGGAGGAAGGAGGGAGGGAAGATGGATAGAGGGGGGGAAGGATGGGGGACAGAGGGAGGAGGGAAGGAGGATGATGAAGGGGGGATGGGAGAATGAAAGAGGGAGGGCGGATGGATGGAAAGATGGAGGGAGGAGGAAGGAAGGGAGGGAAGATGGATAGAGGGGTGGACTGGGGGGAATGGAGGGTGATGGATGGAGGAGAGGAGGGAGGAGGATTGGGAGGGGGGGAGGGAGGATTTCCTGTCGCACTCCAGTCATGTCTGTCCTCCCTCTTCTCAGGGCTCATCTCGGATATCCTGATTTCTCTGGACGATCGCTTCCTCTACTTCTGCAACTGGCTGCACGGCGACATCAGGCAGTATGACATCACCCGACCCGTGTCACCCCAAACTGGTGGGGCAGGTGAGTGGGATCCCGCCGGCCCCTCCCATGGGGCCCCTCCCATTTCTGGGGCTGGGTAATCGCAGTCTTATGTCATGGAGGAGATTTCACCTTCAGTGGGGGGAGGGTTCTTCACGGTAAGAGCGGTATGGGAGGGGCTTCTTGGAGTCTCTGGGTGTCCATTTCTGCCTGTGTCCCCAGTGGGAGGATTTATCCTCCCTCTCTGTATAAAGAGGAACAGAGATTTCGCCGTTAGTATTGGAAGGGTCCTTTTTACTGTGAAGAGCCATTCCCCACACTGCTCTTACTGCAGAGTAGTATGGAAAGTGCTCTTTATGGTAATAGTGGTACGGAAAGGGCTCTTTACAGTAAGAGTGGTGTGGGAAGAATTATTTACAATAGGAGCGGTAAAGGAAGGGCTCCTTACAGTAAGATTGATGCTGGAAGGATTATCTGCATTAAGAGTGGCATAGGAACGGTTGTTTACAGTAATATTAGTATTGGAGGGGCTATTTACAGTAAAAGAGATGGGGGAAGGATTATCTGCATTAGGAGTGGCATGGGAAGGGCTCTTTACAATAAGAGTGACGTGAGAAGAATTATTTGCATTAAGATAGTATAGGAAGGCTTCTTTACAGTAAAAGCAATAAAGTTGTGGAATTTACTATAACAAAGGAAAAATAAAAAATGTAGAAAGTTGTGACGCCGAGATCCCCCCCCCCCTGCGTCTGTCTAGTAATTTGTCATCTCACATTTTTTTTTCTCTTCCAGATCTTTCTTGCTGGCAGCATTCTCAAGGGCGGGGCAGTGAAGGTGCTGGAAGATAAGGATCTAAAATGTCAGCCGGAACCCGTATTCATCAAGGTGAGCGCCCCTTCCTGGGCACACCCCAGTGCCTTACGGGGGGAGGGGAATAGTAGAGTTCTCTCCTCTATATTCTGATCTGTGTCCCGGTGTGTGCAGGGGAAGAAGATTCCCGGGGGGCCCCAGATGATCCAACTCAGCCTGGATGGGAAGAGGCTCTACGCCACAACCTCGCTGTACAGCGCCTGGGACAAGCAGTTCTACCCGGACATGATCAAGTGAGGGGACCGCCGGGACTGGACCCCTCTGTCCCACCCCTCCCTTACCCTCCCTCGGCTCAGTCCCTCCTCTGACCACTCTCCCATCTCTCTCTCTTCCCCCCATCTGACCTCCTCCTCTCCTCATCCTTCATGACCTCTTCTCACACTCACCTCTTCCCCCACCCCCTGAACAACTCTGCTTTTTCCCCCTCTGACCTCTCCTCTCCTCCCCCTCATCCTTCATGACCTTTTCTCTTCCCCTTCTCTCCTCACCTCTTCCCCCACCCCCTGACCGACCTCTGCTCTTTTCCCTACTCTGACCTCTCCTCCCCGTCATCCTTCATGACCTCATCTCTTCCCCTCCCCACTGACCCACTGACCTACCAAACTCTCTGCCCTTCTCCAACTCTCCCCCCCCCCCCCCCCCCCCCCCCCCCCCCCCCAACCTCTCCTCTCCGTCATCCTTCATGACCTTTTCTCTTCCCCCCCATCTCACCTCCCCAAAACCGACCTCTCCCGCCGCCCCCTGAACCGACCTCTGCTCTTCCCACCTCTGACCTCTTCCAAGCTCTACCCTTCTCACCTCTTCCCCAGCCCCCTGACTGACCTCCTCCTTTCCGTCATCCTTCATGACCGTCACCTCTTCTTCCCCCGCCCACTGACCGACCTCTGCTCTTCCTCCAACTCTTCCCCTCCCCTGACCTCTACTCTCTGTCACCTTCATGACCTCTTCCTTCTCTTTTTCCCTCTTCTCTTATCCCCTTCTGACCTCACCTCTTTTCCCGCGTTCCCCCGCCCCCTGACCGACCTCTGCTCTTCCCCCCCCCCCTTTGAATGTCTTCTCTCCATCGTCCTTCATTACTTCTTCTCTTCTTCTTCTCTTTCCAGCTACAGCTCAACGTGCTGTTCCCCGACCTCCTCCTTCCTCTTTCCCCTCCACCCCCTCTCCATCCATCCATTGACCTCCATTTCATCATTCCCCCCACCGCACCCCGTAAACCGACCTCCTGCCTCTTCCCCCCCTCTGACCTCTCCTCCTCCCTCATCCTTCATGATCTCTTCTCTCTTCCTTGCTTCTCACTTAAAACCTCTTTCCCCCTCCACCCAACCTATAGCTCTTTCTTCCCACCGTCCACCCAACCTGTTTGCTCTTCCCCCTTCTGACACTCCACATCTTCCCACGCACGCCCCCACCCCGCATCCACTACCTTCATGACCCTCATTTACTCTTCTCCGCATTGTCTGACCACCGGGGTTAAGCACTCCACCGCGACCAACCAGCCCCTCTCCTCCACACCACCGACCGACCTTCGTGCTCTTCCTCTCTCTGACCTCTTACATCTTCCTCACCTCAATCCTTCATCGACGCTCTTCTCATTTCCACTTCTAGAGCTCACCCACACCCAACCTCTGCTGCTATTCCCTTCCCTCCCGCTCACTGACCTTTCCTCTGGCCTAACTCAAAAACAACAAAATACACAAAAAACCCAGCTCTCTCTTTTTACCTCCTCCTCTCCCACCTCCGCTGTCTCCCTTCCTGATTCTCTCAACTTTCTGCCACACCCCAGGGAAGGGTCCGTCATGATGCAGTATTTGATGTGGATACAAGAGCAGGGCGACTTCTCAGTCACAACGAGATAACTTCCTGGTGTACTTTCGTGAAGGAAACCAGATGGTCCCTGTTCTCGCCCAATTGAAGTGAGCCGCTATGAGGGAGAGAGAACTGCAGCTCCGACATCTTGGATCTCTAACCACACCCCAAACCCCTCCCCCAACCAATCTGAATCTCAACGCCAACCTCCCACCTTCCGCCAAACATCTGGAAGCCCAACACCGCACCCCCAACACCCTTGCCCCCCAGCATCCCTAATCTATTGTCCCAAACCCCCAGACATCCACGTTCTAACCCCTTCCCCCCTTATCTGATTCCCAACAACATGCCCTCAAACCCCTCCCCCAACATCGAAATCCAATCCCCTCCCCCAACGATCTGAAACCAACATCTAAATCCAGTCCCTCCCTCCCCGAACATCCTAAATCCAGTCCCATCCGCCAACATCATGAACCCACAATCTGCAAATCCAATCCCGGCCGCCAAACCCCCATGACATACAGATCTACCCCTTACCCCCTTATCATACTGGATCTAACACACCCCACAGGATCCTTTTCCCTCTCCCCCCCCCCCCCCCCCCCCCCCCGACTTCTAAATCTAACACCCCACTAACCCACTGACCTTGGAATCCTAAAGACCCCCACCCTCCCCACCATACTTGGACACAACAACCCATGGTTTGTCTTCCACCCACATATACCATATGCTTCCGCCTCTTTCCTGACCAACTGAGTCAATATGCGTTCTATGTCCAGAATATTGTCAGTAGATCATTAAAGAGCCGCCTTCCAACACCAGAACGGAGTCGTCACCGAGTGAACGAGGTCCTGTGTCTTTTATTGGCAACATTGTTTTGTCCTGTGACTGCTGAGAGTCCAACTCCACCCCGACATCTGACAATTTCAGAGCATTGGAGTACGTTGGACTCAATAAACCTCACAAGCCCCTTCTGTAATCCGTACGTCTCCCAGCTCCGCCCACCCGAACGATCTCCCCTCCTTTTATGAGGGGTTCCCATATCCCCCCCGCGGGGTTTTTCCATATGTTAAGGGTGGAGCTGGGAACACAACCAGGAAATTTGCACCAAATCGGAGCCCCCAAGAGATATGGATACTCCAGTGGGCTGACTGATAGGCTGGCACTAATGAGGTGTCACCGGATAGGCGGCACTGATAGACCGAGCAGCTGACTGGCACAAGCGCTGGGCACTGATTGGTGGCACTGTTGGGCCTGCACAGGGTGGGGCAGAAAGGAACTGGTGGGTGGCACTGATGGGCATGCGATCATCAGTGTTGCCCCGATGATCGTGGCCGATCCCCGCCTCCGGCTCTGACAAACTACCGATTGTCTCGGCAGTAGTAATTTCCCCTCACGTTCTGACAGTGCAAGGAAAGTGCAGCGAGAGTGAACCGGCAGTTGCATTTTCCCGGTGATCAGCGTGTCATTGGACACGGCTGATCCCGTGGTAAAAGGCCCGCTGTGATTGGCCTTTTACCGCATCCGTAGGAATTAGGACACAGCGGGGATTCACGGAGATCGCCGGGGGCCGTGCAGGAGAGCTCGTTCTGGGAGTACGTCGTGACGCCCTTCCCAGAATCTGGCTCGTCCGCTCTGCAGTGCCAGCCGTAGATTCGGATATCTTGTGGTTGGCAGTGTGGTTAATTGGGTAGATAAACCATCAGACCTCCAGGTATGTTAATGTTTGCAAATGGGACTAACCGTCCACAGGCAAAGAGATGGCCGCCCGGCTCGGACTTGGCGGTTATTGGTGTTCCCTCTCAAGACGACGTGCGGTTGCAACGAAACGCGTAAGAGGAGCCAATAACATCACATCCACCAGAGCAAACATGGAGCTCCGGTGTGTGGCCATCTTTGTACTGCTGGACGCGTGGTAGTTGCAGGGGCGGGTGGATGTTTATAAACGGCCTCCCAGGCTCCACCCTGCTTGTCGCGCACTCCGCTGGGAGCAACGCAGCACCGCGATCCAGTGCCCCGCTGTGTCCTCCAGACACAGTGGAACACAGATCGTCGGCGGGACCTCTGTGTGAGGTCCCCGATCATGTGATCACCGATTGGCCTAATCAGTGATCACATGCAGATGTAGTAAGCAAGACAAGATGTCACTTCTGACATTGGCTTACTACGTGTGAAATCTGTGAATGATCACAGAGGTCACACATGGTACAGGGCCCATTCACAACAACCTTGTACCATGTGACAAGCTGTGACAATCACAGCTCACTCAGTAGTTTCTCAATGGCTGCAGGAATGCATAGCCAGAGAGAAGGAGAAAGAAATGATTGAATTTTACAGCCTTTATGGGTATAAAAGCAATCAGTGTAAAAAAAAAAAAAAAATCCTCAAATCACCCCCACCACAAGTAGGGTTATGTAAAAAAAAAAAAAAAAAAAAAAATCTAAACTTTTTTTAAAAATGTTTAAAAAAATTATAAATCACCTCCCACAAGGAGTACAGTGTCACCATAGGGTATGTAAAAAAAAAAAAAAATTCAAATTTTTTTTTTTCTAAAATGATAATTTTTGTTTTATAAACGAATTTGGGTTATTTTGTTTTTTTTTTTTACTAAAAATATACTAATAAATTTTTTGGCCGAGATTTTATGAAGAAATATTATTTATTTGCAAAATGTTATAAGAAAAAAACACTTTTTCTCTAAATTTTTGGACATTTTCTTTTTACATAGCAAAAAAAATCCCAGCGGTGAATAAATATCACCAAAATAAAGTTTATCTGTTCTCAAAAAAAAAAGCTAAAAAAGTCATATGGGTACAGTGTTGCATGACCGCTACGCAATTGGTGTGTGGACTTTCATAGTGTGATTGGCGCTCAAAGCTGAGACTTGGCCTGGACTGGAAAGGGGGGGAAAGTGTCCCCGGACTGGAAGGGGGGGGGGGCGGAAAGTGGTCCGGACTGGAAGGGGGGGGGGGGGGGAAGGAAGCGTACCGGACCGAAAGGGGGAAAGTTACCTCTTTGAAAAATTTTATAATAGAAACAAAGAAACTTTTTTTTTTTTTTTTCAAGTTTTTTGCACTTTTTTTGTTTATAACACACAAAAGTAAAAGCGCCCAGCGGGGAGTAACAGACAACCAGAAGAAAGCTCTATTTCTGAGAAACAATGATAAAAATGTCATCTGGGTACAGTGTCGCCACGATCCGCGCAATTGTCATTCAAAGTGCAGACAGCGGCGAAAGCTGGTCTGAAAATTGGCCCGGTAAAGAAGGGGGTAGAAGTGCCTCGGCAGGTGAAGGGGTTAAAGGGGACCCTGGCCACCATTTTTTGATTTTTTTTTTGATCCACATCAGGAGTCCCCGGGACCTGTACACCCGGCGAGGGATCTCCACCCCGACTCTGCCCCCCATTTGGGTGACCCTTGATGACCTCGGGAGTTTACGTACATTTATGCGCATTATATTATGCATTCGGGTGAGTGCGCATTTTTTCTACACTTAACCCCACCAGTGCCCCGAGTCAGATCCTTGGGATAACAATGTCTCTGGGAACTCCGACGCCTTCCAAATTGATTCTGCAGATGACATTTTCTCATTTCCCTCAAGATCTTTTGGACCTCCCACCCTCATAGATCTTTTGCTTGAGGATGCTCCAAAGGTTCTCCATAGGATTGAGGTCAGGGGAGGATGGAGGCCACACCATGACTCTCTCCCCTTTTATCCCCCATAGAGCAGCCAATTGATGCAGAGGTATTCTTTGCAGCATGAGATGGTGCATTGTCATGGCATTGAAGATGATTTTAATTTACGGAAAGCATATGTTCTTCCTTCTGTACCAGGAAGAGAGTGGTCAGTCATAAACTCCACATATCTTTGCAGAGGTCATCTTTACACCTTCGGGGGAGCCCCTAAAGGGGCCGACCAGTCTCTGTTCCCATGATTCCGGCCCAAAACATGACTCCACACACCGCCTTGCTGACGTCGCAGCCTTGTTGGAACAGGGTGGCCGTCCACCCAACCATCCACGACTCCATCCATCTGGACCATCCAGGGTCGCATGGCACTCATCAGTGAACGGGACTGTTTGAAAATGAGTCTTCATGTATTTTTCTGCCCAATGCAGCCGTTTCTGCTTGTGAGCATTGGTTAGTGGTGGCCGAATAGAAGGTTTCTGCACAGTTGCAGGACTCTGGAGGACTCTACACCTTGATGTCCGTGGGACTCCAGAGGCACCAGCAGCTTCACATATCTGTTTGCTGCTCTGTAATGGGATTTTAGCAGCTGCTCTCTTGATCCGATGCCTGGATCTGGCAGAAATCTTCCTCAATGCGCCTTTATCTTCTCGGCCTTTTGGCTAAGATCAAGTGTAGTATCTGTTCTTATCAGTGTCCAGTGGGGGTGCTCCCGGCCATTCTAGCTTTGCGGGGATGGTTGTTGTATAGTACCCTCACTGGTATGATGGGGGTCCGGAAGGCTAGTACCGGAGGGACAGAAACCAGGGAGCGCCATGATTCGTTCTGGGGCCTTGGGAGTAATTCCTCTGGGGAGACCGGAAAGACCCAGTTCCTCCTGGTTTGAGCATGCTACCTTGGTCTGGCCTGGGGTCGGGGACGCAAAAAGTCCGCAAACTCAGTGCCCCCTGGGGAAGACGCTCTCAGGGGTGTCACTAGTAACACTTGGGTGTGGGACCCCACGGTGTGAAGATGACACATGGCCACTGTTTTTTTTCACCTCTTTTTGCACAGCGCCCTAAGGACCAGGTCTTTTGGCTAAGTCCAGGGCAATTTTTGCTACAGGCCTCAGGGCCTGGTCTGTGCACTATTAGGCACGGTACCACTTTTTTATTTTATTCTATTTATTTAAACCACTCCCACGTTTTGTCACTTTTTGCTTTCTTATGTGTGTGTTTTTTTCACGGATGGAGGGTGTGGGTCCTCGGGCCTTACCTGAAGTCTAGGGGGAGGATGTGTGGCCATACGGTTCCTTCCTCCCCTGATCCCTAGGGGGTTTTCTCTTCGGGAGAACCCCCTTGCCTAGTACTGGATGTCCGGCTTCGGCTGGGCATAAGGAACGGTGGTCCACCAGGCCTTTTGGCCAGGAGGACCAAATGGGAACCTTGTCCCTGTCAGGAGCTTCGTGCCCCGGGGGATCGGGCGAACGGTCCAACCCTTTCGGGGGTAGGACAAACACACCCCTAAGTGCACGTTTTTCGTGTGTGTGTTTCTGCACTTGCACTTTTTTGCGGACACTTACGGGTTTTTTTTCGTTACAGTTCCACGTTTGCGGACTTAAAAAAAAAAAAAAAAAAAAAAAAAAAAAAAAAAAAAAACCAATACCAAGATGGTGCATTGTCATGCATGAAGGTGATTTTATTACGGAGAGCATAGTTCTTCCTTCTGTACCAGGGAAGAGAGTGGTCAGTCATAAACTCCACATACTTTGCAGAGGTCATCTTTACACCTTCGGGGCCCCTAAAGGGGCCGACCAGCTCTGTTCTCATGATTCCAGCCCAAAACATGACTCCATCACCGCCTTGCTGACGTCACAGCCTTGTTGGAACAGGGTGGCTGTCCACCCTACCCCCTCAACTTTGTGACCCCACCCCTGCGGAACCAACACTGTGACCCCTGACCCTACCCCCCCAGGAACCAACACTGTGACCCCTGACCCTACCCCCCAGGAACCAACACTGTGACCTCTGACCCTACCCCCCAGGAACCAACACTGTGACCCCTGACCCTACTCCCCAGGAACCAACACTGTGACCCCACCCGCTCGAAACCAAAAACTGTGACCCCCTGACCCCGCCCCCCCGGAGCCAACACTGTGATCCCACCCCCCCGAGACCAACACTATGACCCCTGACCCTACCCCCTCAAATCAGCTTTGTGACCCCCACCCCCCAGAACAAACACTGTGACTCCCTGACCCTACCCCCAAATCAACTTTGTGACCCCACCCCTGCGGAACCAACACTGTGACCCCCTGACCTTACCCCCCGAATCAACTTTGTGACCCCACCCCTGCAGAACCAACACTGTGACCCCCTGACCCTACCCCCCCCGAATCAACTTTGTGACCCCACCCCTGCGGAACCAACATTGTGACCCCCTGACCCTACCCCCATACCCCCCCCCCGGAATCAACTTTGTGACCCCACCCGTGCAGAACCAACACTGTGACCCCTGACCCTACCTCCATCCCCCCCCCCCGGAGTCAACTTTGTGACCCCACCCCTGCGGAACCAACACTGTGACCCCCTGACCCTACCCCCATCCCCCCCGAATCAACTTTGTGACCCCACCCGTGCAGAACCAACACTGTGACCCCCTGACCCTACCCCCATCCCCCCCCCCCAACCGGAATCAACTTTGTGACCCCACCCCCTGCGGAACCAACACTGTGACCTCCAACCTGCCGTATGGAGGCCCCTTTGGCTGGCGATTGTGGAGCTGCTGGGCCCAAAAGCTTGCAATCTATGGGTGGGCGGGGGAAAACTCCACCCCACCATTCAGGGTGGAGCTACACAGTCTGCAATGGCATGCTGGGACTTGTAGTTTCCCCCATAGGGATATTATTATTATTTTCTGGCTCCCAGGGAATGCTGGGACTTGTAGTACATTCATAAGAATTACATATCATTGTATACATTATATTATTATTATTTTCTGGCTCCCAGGGAATGCTGGGACTTGTAGTCCCCCCGCTCTCATCCCATTGGCGGTCTCCTGATCTGGGTGTGTGTCCCTTTAAGAGAGAGGCGTGGCCTCCTTACTCCACCGCCCGCCAACCACCCTTGAATGTTGTGACACGGCACAGCCGCCCCTGTTTGGCGCCCTCAGCGCTCGGACCAATGACTGCGCAGTTACCAGGCAGAGGCCGGAATATTGACCAATGAGAATGCACGAATTTTGTGTTTCCGGGGAAGAGCGGCTTTCTAAGCCAATGGGAATTTCAGTTGAGGGAAGGGGCGGTGGCGGCGGCGGCCAATCAGAAAAGTGGAGAGTGCGGAGCCTCCGGAGCGGCGGTAGGTGATTCCCGGGAATGGCGCCACTGGCCGGGGGGTCACTGGGAGCGCACAGGGCCCCTCCACGCCCCCTGTGGGCGGGGCCACCTGAGGGCGACCAAACCCCGCCCTCTCCTGGGCTGACAGCGATCAGAGGGTCAAAAATCACCTCATAGAGTAAAGTGACCCGCCGGGTGATGTCTGAGGAGAACTCACCCGCCAAATTCATCTATGGGGTCACCAGACATGGGGTATCATCATCTATGGGGTCACCGGACACGGGGCGATATCTTTGGGGTCACCAGACATGGGGTGTCATCATCCATGGGGTCACCAGACATGGGTGATATCTATGGGGTCACTGGGCACGGGGCGATCTCTATGGGGTCACTGGGCACGGGGCGATCTCTATGGGGTCACTGGGCACGGGGCGATCTCTATGGGGTCACCAGACATGGGGTGTCAGACACGGGGCATCTATGGGGCCACCAGACATGGGGTGTCATCATCTATGGGGTCACCAGACATGGGGTGATCATCTATGGGGTCACCAGACATGGGGTGATATCTATGGGGTCACCAGACATGGGGTGTCATCATCTATGGGGTCACCAGACACGGGGGTGTCATCATCTATGGGGTCACCAGACACGGGGTGATCATCATATGGGGTCACCAGACATGGGGTGTCATCATCTATGGGGTCACCAGGACATGGGGTGTCATATCTATGGGGTCACCAGACATGGGGTGTCATCATCTATCTCATGGGGGTGTCATCATCCATGGGGTCACCAGACATGGGGTGATATCTATGGGGTCACCAGACATGGGGTGTCATCATCTATGGGGTCACCAGACACGGGGTGTCATCATCTATGGGGTGACACGGGGTGTCATCATCCATGGGGTCACCAGACACGATATCTATGGGGTCACCAGACATGGGGTGTCATCATCTATGGGGTCACCAGACATGGGGTGTCATCATCTATGGGGTCACCAGACACGGGGTGTCATCATCCATGGGGTCACCAGACACGGGGCGATATCTATGGGGTCACTGGCACGGGGTGTCATCATCTATGGGGTCACCAGACACGGGGTGTCATCATCTATGGGGTCACCAGACACGGGGTGTCATCATCCATGGGGGGTCACCAGACACGGGGCGATATCTATGGGGTCACCAGACATGGGGTGTCATCATCTATGGGGCCACCGGATACGGGGCGATATCTATGGGGTCACCAGACATGGGGTGTCATCATCTATGGGGTGTCATCCATGGGGTCACCGGACACGGGGTGTCATTATCTCTGGGGTCACCGGACACGGGGTGTCATAGTCTATGAGGCATTGGTAGAAGGGGAGGGGCTGTGATGTGGGGAGATAGGAGGGGCAGTTATGGAAGGGGAAGGGCTGTGATGGGAGAGGGGAGGAGCACTGGTGAAAGGGGAGGGGCTATGATGTGGTGGGGAGGGGTGGTGGTGGAAGGGGAGGGGCTTTGATATGGGGGTAATAGGGGGTGTGGGGGTGATAGACGAGGGGGGGTAATAGGGGGGGTGATACGAGGGGGGGAGTAATAGGGGGTGCGGGGGGGGTGATACGAGGGGGGGGCTAATAGTGTGTGGGGGTGATACGAGGGGGGGTGATACGAGGGGGGTAATAGTGTGTGGGGGTGATACGAGGTGGGGGTAATAGGGGGGTGATACGAGGGGGGGGAAATAGTGTGTGGGGGTGATACGAGGTGGGGGTAATAGGGGGGTGATAAGAGGGGGGGGTAATAGGGGTTGCGGGGGTGATACGAGGGGGGGGAAATAGTGTGTGGGGGTGATACGAGGTGGGGGGGTAATAGGGGGTGATACGAGGGGGGGTAATAGGGGTTGCGGGGGTGATACGAGGGGGGGCTAATAGTGTGTGGGGGTGATACGAGGGGGGGGTAATAGGGGGAGATACGAGGGGGGGGTAATGGGTGTGGGGTGATACGAGGGGGGGTAATAGGGGGTTGATGAGGACAGCAGGCGGTGCACTGAGCGCGCTCTGTAGGGAAGTCTATGACCCGTTACACGATGGCGGTCGGCGGTGTCACTCTGGTGTCACTCTGGTTCCCCGGCAGGTCCGGCACGCAGGAGGGGATGGCAGAGGACGCGCTCTATGAAAAGATCTCGAAGAAGGGCGGACTGACCGCGGGCGACACCCAGGAGGAGACCGAACCCATCAACCTTCTGCAGAAACTGCGCAGCCGCATCACGTGAGACTCCTCCCTCCTACTTGTGTACCGCCTGACCCTGACCCCTCTGTGCCGTGAGCAGCACTGGGCCGCTGAGCTTACAGTCTTGGCACACGAGTCTCTGGTGTCGCAGCACAGGAGGGGCGGAGCTTGGCCTAGGAGCTTGCAGTCTGTTGGCGGCTCTGGAATGTATTTGTTGTCTCCCGGTCCTGGATGGCGGAGCGCTCACTGATTGTCTGTTTTATCTCTACAGGAAAGCCGTGCAAACAAAAGTGGACGGTATACTGGTACAGAGCCTTGTGTGACCTCTGACCCTGAGCCCCCCGCTGTGTGACCTCTGACCCTGAGCCCCCCGCTGTGTGACCTCTGACCCTGAGCCCCCGCTGTGTGACCTCTGACCCTGACTGTATGCGTCACCTCTACCCCTAATCCCCTGGCTGTGTGACCTCTGACCCTGAGCCCGGCTGTGTGACCTCTGACCCTGAGCCCGGCTGTGTGACCTCTGACCCTGAGCCCGGCTGTGTGACCTCTGACCCTGAGCCCGGCTGTGTGACCTCTGACCCTGAGCCCCCGCTGTGTGACCTCTGACCCCTGACTGTATGCGTCACCTCTACCCTATACCCTGGCTGTGTGACCTCTTACCCCAAACCCTGAGTGTTTACGTGACCCCTTTGTGACCTCTGACCTGAAACTTGACTGTATTCTTGACCTCTGGCTGTGTAACCTCTGACCCTGACTGTACTCATGACCCCTATGTGACCTCTGACCTAAAACTTGACTGTGTTCATGACCTCTGTACCCTGGTTATGTCACCTCTAACTTTACACTGACTCTACTCATGACCTCTGACCCTAAACCCTGGCTGGCTTTGTGACCTCTGACCCTGAACCCCAGGATGTGTGGCTTCAGAATCCTGGCTGTATGGGTGACCTCTGACCCTGACCGCATTGATGACCCCTTAGCTGTATGTGACCTCTGACCCTAAATTTGCGTGACCCCTTTTATTCGTAAGTCTGACCCCCTCCTACACCTGGGTCACTTCTGGTCCTCATGGCATGAGACGGAGCTACTTGTGACCCCCCCCCAGACTGTACATGACTCCTCCCCCTTCCCTGTCTGACCTCTGACCCTCTCCATGTCACCCTACAGGGGGATGTCCAGAAGTTGTCAGACTATGACAAGCTCTACCTGTATCTCCAGCTGCCACCCGGCCCCAGCGGCCCCGACAAGAGGTAGGCGGGACTGCCCTTGAGCCCCTTTATAGGCGGTGCCTGTGATAACCGACACCCCCTGCTATGTCCGTTGGGTAATAATTGGCTCCTCCCCTCTTCTCCGTACAGCCTGGATGTAGGATGCGTGACCACGGCGGAACACATGCACGCCTGTACGTGGATCCGGAACCACCTGGAGGAGCACACCGACACCTGCCTGCCCAAACAGGATGTCTACGACGCCTATAAGTGAGTAGGGCGGGGTCAGGGGCCCCTGTAACCTGACGGGGGGGGGGGGGCAACCAATCACATCTCGTGTTCACGGTGGGCGTCCATCTTTGTCTCTCTCCACAGGCGCTACTGTGACAACCTCTGCGGGCGGCCGCTCAGCGTAGCCAACTTCGGGAAGATCATCCGGGAGATTTTCCCCAATATTAAGGCCCGGAGGCTGGGAGGGCGGGGCCAGTCCAAATATCCTTCTGTGTGTGTGAGGCCGAAGGTGTGGGGGCACAAGGGGCGGGATATCATGGGGGGGGGGGCACAAAGGGGGGGCACAAAGGGCGGGATATCATGGGGGGGCACAAAGGGGGGGATATCATTGGGGGGGGGCACAAGGGGCGGGATATCATGGGGGGGCACAAGGGGCGGGATATCATGGGGGGGCACAAAGGGCGGGATATCATGGGGGGGCACAAGGGGCGGGATATCATGGGGGGGGCACAAAGGGCGGGATATCATGGGGGGGCACAAGGGGCGGGATATCATTGGGGGGGCACAAGGGGCGGGATATCATGGGGGGGCACAAGGGGCGGGATATCATGGGGGGGGCACAAGGGGCGGGATATCATGGGGGGGCACAAGGGGCGGGATATCATTGGGGGGGCACAAGGGGCGTGATATCATTGGGGGGGCACAAGGGGCGGGATATCATTGGGGGGGGCACAAGGGGCGGGATATCATTGGGGGGGGGGCACAAGGGGGGGCACAAAGGGCGGGATATCATTGGGGGGGGGCACACAAAGGGCGGGATATCATGGGGGGGGCACAAAGGGCGGGATATCATGGGGGGGGGGCACAAAGGGCGGGATATCATAGGGGGGGCACAAAGGGCGGGATATCGGGGGGGGGGGCACAAGGGGCGGGATATCATTGGGGGGGCACAAAGGGCGGGATATCATTGGGGGGGCCACAATGGGCGGGATATCATGGGGGGGGCACAAAGGGCGGGATATCATTGGGGGGGCACAAAGGGCGGGATATCATAGGGGGGGCACAAAGGGCGGGATATCATGGGGGGGGGGGGCACAAAGGGCGGGATATCATGGGGGGGGGGGGCACAAAGGGCGGGATATCATGGGGGGGCACAAAGGGCGGGATATCATTGGGGGGGGCACAAAGGGCGGGATATCATGGGGGGGGCACAAAGGGCGGGATATCATGGGGGGGCACAAAGGGCGGGATATCATGGGGGGGCACAAAGGGCGGGATATCATAGGGGGGGCACAAAGGGCGGGATATCATTGGGGGGGGCACAAAGGGCGGGATATCATAGGGGGGGGGCACAAAGGGCGGGATATCATAGGGGGGGGGGGGCACAAAGGGCGGGATATCATAGGGGGGCACAAAGGGCGGGATATCATAGGGGGGGGGCACAAAGGGCGGGATATCATAGGGGGGCACAAAGGGCGGGATATCATAGGGGGGGCACAAAGGGCGGGATATCATAGGGGGGCACAAAGGGCGGGATATCATGGGGGGGGGCACAAAGGGCGGGATATCATTGGGGGGGGCACAAAGGGCCGGATATCATTGGGGGGTACAAGGGGTGGGATATTATGGGGGGGCACAAAGGGCGGGATATCATGGGGGGGGGAAGACATTTTCCTGCACACTGCTGACTTCCTGCTGGTCATCTCCAGGAATGGTTCTATCCAAGAGACCAGCATGGGAATGTGCGCCCCCCCCCCGGGCATTGGGACTGTGTGCGCCCCCCCCCCCCCCCCCCCCCGGGCATTGGGACTGTGCGCCCCCCCCCGGGCATTGGGACTGTGCGCCCCCCCCCCCCGGGCATTGGGACTGTGCGCTTCCCCCCGGGCATTGGGACTGTGCGCTTCCCCCCGGGCATTGGGACTGTGCGCCCCCCCCCCCCGGGCATTGGGACTGTGCGCCCCCCCCTGTGCGCTTCCCCCCGGGCATTGGGACTGTGCGCTTCCCCCCGGGCATTGGGACTGTGCCCTTCCCCCCCCGGCATTGGGACTGTGCCCTTCCCCCCCGGGCATTGGGACTGTGCACCCCGACATGCCAAAGAGAGCGGAAGGTTGGCCATACTGCCAGCAGGGAATGCTGGGAAATATAGGTGCAGGCAAGGGATGAGCTGGGGGTCAGCCAGAATGAGCTGCATGGGGGGGGGGGGGGGAGACCCTCACCTCCTGTACAAAGGGGCAGAGATAAGGGTGACATCATTGACCTATCATCAGCTGGGGGGGGATCCCCCGCCTGCAGCTCATTGGCCCGGCACTGACAGTCCTTAAACCAACTGAAAACAATTTGCTACAGCGGGGCTGCGGGGGGGGGGGGGGGGGGGGGTGGGGGGGGGTGGGGGGGGGGGGGGGGTGTGGGGGGGTGTGTGTGTGGGCTTACTCTGGGGGGGGGGGGGGGGGGGGGGGTGGGGGGGGGGGGGGGGAGGGGCCCCACAGGACAGAGTTATGGGTGAGCATAGCCGCCCCTGCCCAGCCTGGACCACACACCAAGATGACCGAAAGTGTAAAAAACAACAGTAGCACTCCGCCCCCCTCCATGCACTGCCCTTCCACCCCCTTCCTCACCCACCTTCCTCCGCCTGCCTGCACCCAACCTTCCTCCCTCCCCCCCCCCCCCCCCCCCCCCCCACAAAACCCCCTGTCACCCGCCCTTCCTCCCCCCTGCCCGCAACCCCCCATTCCCCCCCCTTCCTAGCCACCCCCGCCTTCCTCCCCTTCCTTCTCTCCCCCACCTTCCCCTCCTTCCTGCACCCCCCTTCCCCTCCTCCCCCCCACCGCCACCCCCCCACCCCGACAAAAACAACAAAACACCCCCCCCCCCCCCCCCCACCCCCCCCCCACCCCCCGCTTCCCCTGCCCCCAGCCCCTGCCCCACCCCCCCCCCCCCCCACCGCCCCCCTACCTGCCCCCACCCCCTGCCCCTGCCGAACCCCCATCCTTCCTCCTCCTTCCCGAAAAACCCCCCTTCCTCCTCTTTCCCGCACCCCCCTTCCTCCACCCCCGCACCCGAACCCGCCTTCCTCCTCTTTCACCCCGCACCCCCCCGCCTTCCTCCTCCCTTCCCCCCCCCCCCGCCCCCCCCCCCCCCACTCCTCCCCCACGCCCCCCCCCCACAACCCCCCCGCCATCCCCACCTCCCCCCCCCCCCCCCCCCCTCCTGCCCCCTAGCCCCCGCTCACTTACCTGCACCCCCCCCCCCCCCCACACCTTCCTTCCTCCTTCCCGCTAAACCCAAAACCCGCCTTTTCCATACCTACTCCTTCCCGAACCTCTCCTCCTCCTCTTTCCCAACCCCCCCCCCCCCCCTCCTCCTTCCCAAAACCACCCGCCTTCCTCCTCTTTCTTCACGCCACCCGCCTTCCCCCCCCCAAAACCCCCCATTGGGCCGGGAGGCACAAAGGGCGGGACTTCATTGGAGGATAGGTACAAGGAGGTTCTATTATGGGGGGGCCGCATGGGAGGGGGAACAAAGGGCCCACAAAGGGCGGGGATAATCATGGGGGGGCACAAAGGGCCTCCAAAGGGCGGGATCTTTATCATAGGGGGGGGCCAAAGCGGGATATCATAGGGGGGGCCAAAAGGGCGCCTCATAGGGGGGGCCAAAGGGGGGGATATCATAGGGGAGGGCCAAAGGGCCTTCCCGCACATTGGGGGGTTTTATACCGGCCTTCCCTGCCCTCAGACTTCCTGCTGGGTCCCCCTCACCAGCCGCCCCCCCCGGGCGATTTGGGACTGTGCTCCTTCCCGCACCCCCTTTGTGCCCCCTCCTCCTTCCTGCCGCCCGCCCCGGGACTGTTTGCCTTCCCCCTACGGGCATTAGGCATTGGGACTTGCGACTTTAAAACCATATCCCCTTCCTCCTCCTTGCCCGAACCCGCCTTCCTCCTCCTTGGGACTGTGCCACGCACCCTCCTTCCTCGCTATAGGGTTTCCCAGAATGAAGCTGCATGGGGGGCCCGCCTTCCTCCTCCTTCCCCCTCCGCCTTCCTCCCGGCCACTTCCTCCCCCGCCCCCCTTCCTCCTCTTTCCCCCGCACGCCCCGCCTTCCTCCTCCTGGACCGAGATGACCGGGATAGGGTAAATGAATACAGAGCTCCCGCACCCGCCTTCCTCCCCCATCTTCCTGTGCCCTTGCACCCGCCTTACCTGCCCCTCCTTCCTTCACTGCCCCACATGCCCCTTCTTCCACTTACCCTGCAACCGATTTCACCACCTCCCCTCCTTCCTTCCCGAACCCGCCTTCCTCATCGCTCCTCCTATCCCTCGAACCCCGCCTTCCCGAACCGCCTCCTCCTCTTTCCCGCACGCACTTCCCGCCTTCACGCACCTCCTACCCGCACCCGCCTTCCTCGCTTTCCGTTCCTGCCCCGCCTCCCGGCGCACCCGCCTCCACTTACCTGCACCCGCCCTTACCTGCTCCTCCTCCTTCCTGCGAACCACGCCTTCCTCCTCCTTCCCGAACCCGCCTTCCTCCTCGTTCCCGCACACTCCGTCCACTCCGCCTCCTCCTCTCTTCCCGCCACGCCTTCCTCCTCACTTTCCCGCACCCGCCCTTTCCTCCTTTTCCCCCGCACCCGCCTTCCTCCTCTTTCCCCACCCGCCTTCTACCTCCTTCCTCTCCTTTCCCCCCTCGCCCGCTCCACGTACCTGCACGCACCCGCCCTTCCCGGAACCGCGGACTCCTCCTTTCCCGCATCCCGCACTCTTTTCCCCGCACCTTCCTCCTTCCTTCCCACCCGCCTTCCTCCTTCTTTCCCGCGCACCCCCTTCCTCCTCTTTCCCGCACCCGCCTTCCTCCTCTTCCCGCACCCGCCTCCTCCTTCCCCGCACCCCCTTCTCCTCTTTCCCGCCCCCGCCTCCTCCTCCTTCCCATGCACCCGCCTTCCTCCTCCTGAAACCCGCCTTCCCCTCCTTCCCCACCCCGCCTTCCTCCTCCTTCCCGCACGCGCTTCCCCTCCTTCCTCGCCCCCGCCCTGCCCGCCTTTACTCCTTCCCGAACCCGCACTTCCTCCTCCTTCCCGCCCAGCCTTTCCAGTCCTCCTTCCCGCACCCGCCCCGCTCCACTTACCTGTACCCGCCCTTCTGCCCCACCTCAGGCTCCTCTTTCTTCATCCTTCTTCCCGCTTCTCCCTCCTCTAACCTCCATGTTTCCTCCATCCTCCCGGCACCCGCCTTTTCTTCCCGACCCTCGCCCTTGCTCCTCCTAGGCTCCTCCCCTCACTTGTCTTTCCCCAACAACTCGCTCCCCTTTTCCTCATCTCCTTCCCGCACCCGGCCTCCCCTTACTCGCCTTCCTTTTTCTCCCTCCCGTCCTTCCTCTTTCTTCACCCTTCTTGATTCCCGCACAGCCTCCTCATTCCACATCGCCCCTGTCTGCATCCTTACCTGTCTCCTTCCTTCCCATGCTCACCTTTCCCTTCCTTCTCTTTCCTCTTCCTCAGTCTTCTTCCTTCTTATTCCCCAAATCCTCCTCCTTCCTCCTCTTCACATCCTCTCCTTCGCTCCCTCTTCTTCCTCTTCTCCACCCTTCTCTTCCTCAATCTCCACATCCCTCTCCCTGCTTTCTCTTCCCTTTCACATCCTCCCTCCTCTTCCTTCTTCTTCCCCAATCCCTCTCTCCTTCTCCCCAATCCTCCTCCCCTTTCAATCCTTCCCCTTCCTCAATCCCCCTCCCTCCTCCTTTCTCTTCCCAATCATCCTCCCTTCCTCTCCTTCCTCTTCTGCTCCTCCTTCTCTTTCCACCCCCTTCAATCCTCCGCTCTTCCTTCCTCCTCCTTTCTCTTCCCCAATCATCCTCCTTCCTCTTCCTCCTCCCTCTCTTCCTCCTCCTTTCTCTTCCTCAATCCTCCCTCCCCAATCCTCCTTCCTCTCCCCCCCAAACCTCCTCTCTTCCCCAATCCTCCTCCTCTCCTCTTCCTCCCCAATCCTCCCTCCTCTTTCCCTCCTCCTTTTTTCTCTTCCTCAATTTCCTCCTCCCTCCTCTTCCTCCTCCTTTCTTCCCATCCCCCAACACACTTGCATCCAGCTGACCAATCCCTTCTCCTCGTTCAGTCTGAGCTGACGGATCTGGTCCAATCGTACAAAACAACGACGTGATCAACGCCTCCTGCGCTCTGATCTGCAATTGGGCGGAGAGATCCTGAAGCGATCGTTCCAACAACGTGGTGGAAGTGGCCCAATTTCTGATCCAGCCAGCACATCATTAACCCCCGCAGCGCCAATGCCGAGCTGGTCCTTCTCCATGCGTCCTGTCAGGTGAGCACCCACGCCGGCGCGGCCCCTCCTCCCCCCCCCCTCGCTCGTTCCTCAACATTTACTCGTCTTTTTTTTTTTTTTTTTTTTTTATTGGAGCAGAAAACTCTCAGAGCGGAGGGCAGAAAAATACAGAAACTGTCCGGCAGATGTGCCCGGACCAAGAGGCCCCGTCCCCCGATAACAGCATGGCAGACAATAAGGTGTCGTACTGGGGGGCGGAATATACACGGCCCAAATGCCTACTGTGAATTGGTTTTTACCTCATAAAACCAGGGGGTGGGCAACTGTGGCCCAGTAGAACTACAAGTCCCATGGAGGCATTGCAAAACGGACAGTTACAAGCATGACTCTCAAAGGCAGAGGCATGATGGGACTTGTAGTTCACCAACAGCTGATTTCCTGGATTTGGTTTACAGCTTCCTTGTAGTCCCGCCCCCTCGCTCGGCAGTCACCGGGCAATGTGATTGGGCCGTTCATGGAAGGCGGAGACTTGACACGGGAAGCGGTAAAGCTGAGACCGGGAGCAGCTGGGTCACCTTTCGGCGGCGGTGTGTGTGGGTCGCAAGGCTGGCCAAACACGGAACTATACAATGTAGTAACCGTGACCTCACTTTTATTTTTAGAACAAGAAGACGCCCCCCAATACGCACCCAGTCAGCCCCCCGCAGGTGAGGAAGCGCCCCCCCGAGCCGCAGAAGGCAGCCAGCAGCCCCCAGGTGGACGCTTTGGTCGCCAAGCTTCCGGTCCTCCGCCCCCGCCTCCCCACAGAAGACAAGTTCCTCAGTTCCAGCCCGCCGGTCCGATTCCCCCCTCCCGTCCTGGCTTCCAATATCATCCCCGGGCACTTGAAGGTGTCGCCTTTGCCGTTCGCCGCCGTTCCTCCGGTAGTGCCCCTGGCGGTCACCGCGGGGGTGAACGGGACGGGATTGGTCCCTCAGCCGGTGACTCAGCCCGTCATCAGTATGATCCTCCCGGACATGGTCAACTTGGAACCTCACGCCCTGCCGAAAGCCAACCAGAACGGCATCAAAGAGCTGGCGGGGGGCTCGCCCGAAAACAAAGCGGCCAAACGGCTCGTGGCCTCCGTGGAGGAGGGGCAGTCGAAAAGGAAACGGGGCCGCCCAAGGAAGGTGGACAATTCTGGAAAGGGGCCCTCGACGTCTACGGCACAGCCCGGGAGGATGGTAGCGGAAAACCCCGGCGCGCCGCAAATTAGGGACAATGCCCAGGACGCCGTCGGCTCGGCCCTGCAGGGAAACGACTCCACGGCACCGCCGACCACCGAAGACCCGATCCCGAAAAGTCAGCTGGAGGCGCCAGAGGTGCTTCCTCCCAGCCCGGCCGAGACGCGGGAAGCCCAGTCCGCTCCCGAGGTCAGGAGGCCGGACGTCGTGCCCAACCAGGTCAGTGTCATCCAAGATGGCCGACAGAGCCTGGTGCAGTGGACTGTACGGACTGCAGAGCAGAGGAGCAACCGGGAGGAAGCGTCCACGCCCAGCGAATCGGAATGGGTTAGGATCCAGGTTGACTGACGGACTCTTCCTCCCCTCGCATGCCGGTCCCTGTATCCCTGAGCAGGAACAGTCCGCCCTTCCCCCCTCCCCCGTCACCAAACCCCTGGACAACCGGGAGGACCCTGCGTCCAGGAAGGGACACAAAGACATCTGCCAATCCGCTTGGGGATTGGACGCAGGAAATGAGCCATAGCCCCGCCCCCCCAGTTTGACATAAATACAGGTGACATATTGATAGGTCTTCAGATGCCATCAACACATTTGTACCAGTGGAGCGTTAATGGACTCTGCGACAACCCACTCCCAGCGTAGGCCCCTCCCCCTTCCCCTCCATTGTCTGTATCATATGTCAGCCCTTCGCACTTCCATAAAAGGAAAATTTTATACAAACCAGGTCTGGGTGGAGTCTTTCTTGTGGCCCTTCCTGGGAACCTGCTGGTATCTATCAGATTATTATTGCTTTTGGGTCCTCCTTTCCCTGTGACACCAACATCCCCCTCATTTCTTGCGCTGGTGTCACCAGGAAGTGAAGGGAGATCTCACAAATGGACACTTGGACAGCGATAAGGAAAAACATGACTGAGGCTCCGATACTTGCTCTATCAAAAACACTTTAAAAAGGGGAAAAGTGCCAGGCCGCAGGGCCAGCATGGGGCCTGCGGGGCCAGCATGGGGCCTGCAGGGCGCGGGGCCTGCAGGGCGCGGGGCCTGCAGGGCGCGGGGCCAGCATGGGGCCTGCAGGGCGCGGGGCCAGCATGGGGCCTGCAGGGCGCGGGGCCAGCATGGGGCCTGCAGGGCGCGGGGCCAGCATGGGGCCTGCAGGGCGCGGGGCCAGCCAGCATGGGGCCTGCAGGGCGCGGGGCCAGCATGGGGCCTGCAGGGCGCAGGTCCGGCATATGGGGCTCCCGGGCCGGCAGGGCGCAGGTCCGGCAGGGCTCAGGTCCGGCTTATGGGGGCTCCCGGCCGGCAGGGCTCAGGTCCGGCATAGGGGGCTCCCGGGCCGGCAGGGCGCTGGTCCGGCACAGGGGGCTCCCGGGCCGGCAGGGCGCTGGTCCGGCACAGGGGGCTCCCGGGCCGGCAGGGCGCTGGTCCGGGGGGGCTCCCGGGCCGGCAGGGCGCTGGTCCGGCACAGGGGGCTCCCGGGCCGGCAGGGCGCTGGTCCGGCACAGGGGGCTCCCGGGCCGGCAGGGCGCTGGTCCGGCACAGGGGGCTCCCGGGCCGGCAGGGCGCTGGTCCGGCACAGGGGGCTCCCGGGCCGGCAGGGCGCAGGTCCGGCACAGGGGGCTCCCGGGCCGGCAGGGCGCAGGTCCGGCACAGGGGGCTCCCGGGCCGGCAGGGCGCAGGTCCGGCACAGGGGGCTCCCGGGCCGGCAGGGCGCAGGTCCGGCACAGGGGGCTCCCGGGCCGGCAGGGCGCAGGTCCGGCACAGGGGGCTCCCGGGCCGGCAGGGCGCAGGTCCGGCTAGGTTCAGAGGGGTGGAACTCCACCACGGGTCAGTGGGGATCCAGCATCAGACAGTTGGGTGGAGGTCCAGCAGCACTTCAGGGTTTTTTGGGCAGGGGGGTGAGCTTACACTTGCTCATTTATACTTCCTTCAGAATGTGGCATTGGACAAGCTTTTTTTTAAAGCACTCCGAATGCCAATCAAAGCTCCTCTCACTAAACATAATGGTCACCTCACAGTCCTGTTCACACTGATAAATGATCCCCATGTCACTTTCTTGGCGCTTCAAAGCCTCCATAGAAGTCTATGACGTAGCTCGCTAACAGCACCTGCAGCATTTGAGGAGCATTTATTCAGAGTTAGCTTGGCTTTGTTTTGGAGGTATTGCAGGCATGAGATATCCCAGGATGCACTGGGAGACCAACAAGTGAACCAGAAAGATGTCATCAGAAGTCACTTCCGGTTCATGTGTATGTATTCTGGGGGTGTCTGGTGCAGACGTCACATCTGGAATGCTATAGCGGAAGGTGATGGGGGACCGGAGAGAGGACTGAGCGGCAGGGGATCAGCTCAGCTGGGAGACAGAAGCAGGAGAAACTAGCAGTGTCACACATGGTGCGCAGTATGGGAGACATATAGTGGGGACTGGAGAGAGGAGGATCAGCAAATGAGAGGATCAGTAGAGCTGGGGGGGATAGCAGAGCTGCTGAGTGGGGGACCAGCAGAGCTGGGGGTTATTGCTAAGCGGGGGGATCAGCAGAGCTGGGGGTTATTGCTGAGTGGGGGGATCAGCAGAGCTGGGGGTTATTGCTGAGTGGGGGGATCAGCAGAGCTGGGGGTTATTGCTGAGTGGGGGGATCAGCAGAGCTGGGGGTTATTGCTGAGTGGGGGGATCAGCAGAGCTGGGGGTTATTGCTGAGCTGGGGGGATCAGCAGAGAGCTGTGGGCCTCTACTGAGTGGGGGATCAGCAGAGCTGTGGGCCTCTACTGAGCGGGGGATCAGTAGAGGGGGGTTATCAGCAGAGCTGTGGGCCTCTACTGAGCGGGGGATCAGCAGAGCTGGGGGTCAGCAGAGCTGTGGGCAGAGCTCTACTGAGCGGGGGGATCAGCAGAGCTGGGGGTTGGGCCTCAGTAGAGCTGAGCGGGGGATCAGTAGAGCTGTGGGCCTCTACTGAGCGGGGGATCAGTAGAGCTGGGGGTTATTGCTGAGCGGGGGGATCAGCAGAGCTGGGGGTTATTGCTGAGCGGGGGGGCCTCTATCAGCAGAGCTGGGGGTTATTGCTGAGCGGGGGGGGGGATCAGCAGAGCTGGGGGTTATTGCTGAGCGGGGGGATCAGCAGAGCTGGGGGTTACTGCTGAGCGGGGGATCAGTAGAGCTGTGGGCCTCTACTGAGCGGGGGATCAGCAGAGCTGGGGGCTACTACTGAGCGGGGGGATCAGCAGAGCTGGGGGCCTCTACTGAGCGGGGGATCAGCAGAGCTGGGGGTTATTGCTGAGCGGGGGGGGGGATCAGCAGAGCTGGGGGTTATTGCTGAGCGGGGGACCAGTAGAGCTGTGGGCCTCTACTGAGCGGGGGATCAGCAGAGCTGTGGGCTAATGCTGAGCGGGAGGTCCATACTGAGCTGGACAGTATGGGGCCTTTGCAGGACAGTGGATTGATGGGTCGACAGTATGGGGTCCCTCCAGGAATGAGGAGCTCTGGAAGAAAAGCAGGATGTCCCTGCAGGGACTATGGGGGTGCTGGCAGATAACTTTGTGGTCCTATAGGATGGAGGGGGTTACTGGGAGGACAGTCCACCAGGACTGAGGGGAACAAGGAAAAAAGTATGGGGTCCCTCAAGGACTGAAGAGTGCTAGGAAGACAGCATGGGGTTCCTCTGTACAGAGATTTGGTGGGGGAGAATAGTATGGGGTCCCCCAGAACTGAAGATTGATGAGGATAGTATGGGGTCCCCCAGGACTGAAGATTGATGAGGATAGTATGGGGTCCCCCAGCACTGAAGATTGATGAGGATAGTATGGGGTCCCCCAGGACTGAAGATTGATGAGGATAGTATGGGGTCCCCCAGAACTGAAGATTGATGAGGATAGTATGGGGTCCCCCAGGACTGAAGATTGATGAGGATAGTATGGGGTCCCCCAGAACTGAAGATTGATGAGGATAGTATGGGGTCCCCCAGAACTGAAGATTGATGAGGATAGTATGGGGTCCCCCAGGACTGAAGATTGATGAGGATAGTATGGGGTCCCCCAGAACTGAAGATTGATGAGGATAGTATGGGGTCCCCCAGCACTGAAGATTGATGAGGATAGTATGGGGTCCCCCAGGACTGAAGATTGATGAGGATAGTATGGGGTCCCCCAGGACTGAAGATTGATGAGGATAGTATGGGGTCCCCCAGGACTGAAGATTGATGAGGATAGTATGGGGTCCCCCAGGACTGAAGATTGATGAGGATAGTATGGGGTCCCCCAGGACTGAAGATTGATGAGGATAGTATGGGGTCCCCCAGGACTGAAGATTGATGAGGATAGTATGGGGTCCCCCAGGACTGAAGATTGATGAGGATAGTATGGGGTCCCCCAGGACTGAAGATTGATGAGGATAGTATGGGGTCCCCCAGGACTGAAGATTGATGAGGATAGTATGGGGTCCCCCAGGACTGAAGATTGATGAGGATAGTATGGGGTCCCCCAGGACTGAAGATTGATGAGGATAGTATGGGGTCCCCCAGCACTGAAGATTGATGAGGATAGTATGGGGTCCCCCAGACTGAAGATTGATGAGGATAGTATGGGGCCCCCCCAGGACTGAAGATTGATGAGGATAGTATGGGGTCCCCCAGGACTGAAGATTGATGAGGATAGTATGGGGTCCCCCAGGACTGAAGATTGATGAGGATAGTATGGGGTCCCCCAGCACTGAAGATTGATGAGGATAGTATGGGGTCCCCCAGGACTGAAGATTGATGAGGATAGTATGGGGTCCCCCAGGACTGAAGATTGATGAGGATAGTATGGGGTCCCCCAGCACTGAAGATTGATGAGGATAGTATGGGGTCCCCCAGGACTGAAGATTGATGAGGATAGTATGGGGTCCCCCAGCACTGAAGATTGATGAGGATAGTATGGGGTCCCCCAGGACTGAAGATTGATGAGGATAGTATGGGGTCCCCCAGGACTGAAGATTGATGAGGATAGTATGGGGTCCCCCAGGACTGAAGATTGATGAGGATAGTATGGGGTCCCCCAGGACTGAAGATTGATGAGGATAGTATGGGGTCCCCCAGCACTGAAGATTGATGAGGATAGTATGGGGTCCCCCAGGACTGAAGATTGATGAGGATAGTATGGGGTCCCCCAGGACTGAAGATTGATGAGGATAGTATGGGGTCCCCCAGCACTGAAGATTGATGAGGATAGTATGGGGTCCCCCAGCACTGAAGATTGATGAGGATAGTATGGGGTCCCCCAGGACTGAAGATTGATGAGGATAGTATGGGGTCCCCCAGCACTGAAGATTGATGAGGATAGTATGGGGTCCCCCAGCACTGAAGATTGATGAGGATAGTATG